GTCTCTAACCACCCGTGACTATCGTCTCGCGGCCCCAACCAGGTAGTCTACATCTACCAACATGACTCAGTCCACTTGTCAATGACTTCATGGATTTCTGCCATGTTTTGGTTTGGCCATCCCTAGCTTTCTTCCAACCTACTCCTACACCACAAAACATAGTTCGTCGCGACAGTCAGTGGTTAGCCATACGTAACACATGTCCCAACCAGAAATAGGTAGTTATCTGAGCATAGTTGTGGCAGATGTTCGCCATTATCTGTTATTTGAGCCGTGACACCATAAGATCCACCCAGATGTTTTCAGGTTTCGCTAAATCCACAGAACGCCCAATTTAAATGAAATTATTAAGTCAAATCTTAGTAATAGTACTTGAAAACCTTTAAACCAAAGTAACTGTTGTCAATCTGTCTGCCAGTGATACATTTGGGGAATACTGAATATAAAGTTTCCGGATTTTATTTCCTACCATGTAAAGGTTAATTTGATAACAGTCAGTCGTGGGTTGTTACAGGTACGAGGGCAGATGTCACTTCCGGCTGCCCACACTGTGGAGGGGTATTTCTTGAAGAACCCTAGGAGTAAGTTGGATTAGAGTTGGTCTTGAAATTATACGTGATCGGATTCAATTAGGCATTCATATGAGAGAGTTGCAGCTTCACTCTACCCATGGATGGAAACCCACTGAGATATTATATCAGTTCGTTCAGGAATACATTTTATCTCTCTTAACAAATTCTTAAATATTATATATTCCTTTGTAACAGAGCAAACATTTAAGTAACTCTGACTTCTAGGACTAATAAAAGGATCATTATTCATAATATTATTGTAGATGATAGATACCATGTTTCTATATCACCCTATTGATAAGCTTCCAAACGATCTGTTAACTATTTTCGTACCGGAATTATTGCTAAATAATCAATCATTCAGGAGTGGAGGCAGCTTAAACACAGGTTGATAAAAAACCTACAAAATGATCACAACCAGTAGTGGGTAGTCAAGTGAAAGAGGCAGAAATGGCAATTGCCATCGGTTACAGTACACAACTGTTAAAACTTATCAAGCGAACTGGTACTAGGAATCTGACTTTTAACGGGACTCTCTCCGAAAAGGGAGAGGCTATTATTCACTCTCAATCCAGGCGGTTGGGTCGATGGGCAGAACACTTTAGGAATCAGTTCAAATAGTCTTCAGCCACAATGCGGTTGCCCACGATCTCCAGTCGTCCTGAATGGCAAATTAAGGCCTCCAACTCTTCATGAGGTTCAAAAGGTGATAGGTTAACCTCTGATATTTTAAAGCTTAGTGCTCCAGTCTTAGCGGTTCGATTCAGTGAGATCTTAGTTGAGATCTGGGAAATGGACGCAATTCCATGTGAATGATCTCAATTGGTGATTGTTCCAAAAGACAGAAGTCGTTTTGTGACAGTCACAGTGGAATCAGTTTGAACAGTATGGTGTTTAAAATTGTTACGCCTTCACGTAAACACGTCGACTTGATATACTTGAACTATTACGAGTTTACTTTAGTCGTAAACGAGAGCGAGGATCGAGGGTCCGGCGACACGACATACTATTCAAATCCGATTATCCCAACCCCTATATTTAGTAAAAATAAGAAGACGTGATATGAAGTAGAACATGTATTCTACAAGCATCCAGAAAGTACGAGGTCCGAATCCAAAAGAGAATCAGGATCCCGGACTAGGGATCCGGGACCGGGTCCTGGTCCTGGTCGTGGTCATAAAATGTTACAGATATTGCGTATTTGTACATTTTGGTCGAATAGGAAACAGCATCGGATTCTGTGAGATTGAGAGTTAAGACGACCAATAGGTAGTAACATTTGAAATGACATTGACAGTCCGGAAGACCAATAAGAGACAACATTGAAGTATTTGACTTTGACAGTTAAAAGGACCATAAATTTGACCAATGGAAATCGACCAACAGGATTTGACCAATAATTCTCTTAGGATATTGAATGAATATCCTAAAAAAAATATCAGCTTCAATAATACTTCAACGACTAATTAGAGAAAACCATTTTGGTTTCAAACCTTGACGTGGATATATTGATCAAATATTCATACTTCAACAAGTCCTAGAACATAAATGCACTTTCAAAGTCTAACAATCGTTGCATTCCATGACCTTAAGATGGCATTTGACTCTGTTGACTGTAAGGTTAAATGGTAGTGTCTGTTATTGAAAGGTGTGCCAAAGAAGTATATTATCCGTGTACAGGCTTTCTAGTTGAACGCTACTGGTCGAATCGGAGTATATGAAGAACTGTAGTCAATCAGTATTGCCAAAACCATTGTCTATCAAAGAGATTAACAGTGACCATCGTTTGACATGGCACATAATAAAGTAGAAACGAATTGAATGCGTACCGTTCAACTTAAATGTAGTCATTTTTTTTACTGCAATCACAAATAAACATTTCACAACTGAACAGTAAGACAGAATATTTTCATTAAGTACTTAAAGTTGAAGTTATTAACGGCTAGAAGTCTTGATGAGCTTTAGTCTTTTCAGATGATTGATTTTTTATTTTTGTTTAAGTAGTTAGAATTTTTTTTCTACTGATGATAATCTGACTGCATTTCCTCTTCATTAGTACAAACTCATTACCTTGGATTCTTGGTTTCCGAAAGTTTGATAAACATTAAATCACCGGTATGTGAGTCATTAAGTACTTTGAAAAATTATCGCGATCTCAAAATAAATATTCCACATCATATGTCTCAAATATTTACTGTAAATTTGTTAATTTGTACCCATTTAGGTGATTAATCAATGTAATTATTGTACAATCTGACTGACTCATTATTTAAAATTAATAATTAATAAAGTTTAGACTACCAGTAGTAACGTGGAAGTACTGAATAGCCCTTACATCATAATAGTATGGGACTCATCAGTAGTGAGCATCCAAGATTCCACACATGAGAATCGAACCAAAGTCCTTCAGGATTTCTACTAGACTACTGAGTCAGCATCCAACGGAGTTAACAATTACTTCACTTGATCTCCGATATTTCGCGGTCATCATCAGTATTGTTTTGTAGATAACTGCCTCACGGTGGATACAATTAATATTCATTTATCACGGCTTTGGTTTTATTTTCGAGGTGAACATTTTTACTGAACATAAAGTTTCAAACGTCTTTAGTTTTAATAATTGTGCTGTATTTGAGCTGAATTCAGGTGTTTTCAATGAATAATACAAAATTAATACACACATATTAATAATGTTGCAGGTATTTAAATCATTATCTGTATGCATTTCTTGAGTATCTCACAGTTAGAAAATTCAAACACGCACTCACGGTGTCCATTGTTCATTCGTTTAATAATTAATTTTGGCTAAGCATTTTTCGACTACTGAAAACTATTAAATAGTTTAAAAAATCTAATGAAAAACTACTATATCAAATTACGAAGTTTCTACATTGTGATATCTGTGATATTAAACGAAACCAGCTGAAATTATAATCATCATAGCTAGTAAAGTGTATATAAAGTGTTTTTTCTACACAAGCATGATTAAGAGATTTGAACTTTCCGGTTGGTCTACGGTAAATTCAATTTGTAAACAATTGGTGATTCGTTTATTACGATGTACAAAAAATTGGAAATTGAATAGACCGGAATTCGGTTACACGGAAACACTTAAACATTTATAACTAACACACTGATGAAGAAAGATATGATAAAACTTTCTGAATAACTTAGAAGGCAAATTTGAGCCAATCAACTCGAGGTACATAAGGTTAACAAATTGAAAGCAATGATTACCAATTAAACTTTGACAACAATTCTTGGGAAAAAATTAGGTAAATATCATCGATGTTATCTTGTAAAGAATGAACTAACATTTAATCACACAAAAATCTCTTGATTACTTGATCTTTACTTAGCATAAATACAGATAAATTGCTTTAATGAAAAGTATCAACGATTGACGCTTAAAATTATTTCGTCAATTCACCCGATAAACTAGTTCAAGTTTCATCAGAGGAATATGATGTAAAAAAATTTTGATTTTGCTAACTAGTTTCGATAATTAAAATATTGAAATTACTTAAATTTCATTTGTTATAATGTTTACATACATTAACTTCAATAATCTGTCCATTGAAATACGAACAAATATTCGTTTATCATAAAATCGCAACAACTCCGCTACTGCCGGTCCCAAGCCCGGATAAAGGAGGATGGGGTTGGGCATGGAGTTGGTGCCCCCATCCCAGCTAAAAATTAACTTGCCGAAAAAACACTAACCAGAAGAAATAAAATCCCAACGTTCAGTTTTCAATAACTAATCTGAAATCACCAATCAATCATTGTTAGACCACCATTAGAAGGAACCTGGAAGCACTGAAAGACGGCCGTTTCGTTCTGGTATGGGACTCATCAGCAGTGCGCATCCACAACTCCTGCAGCTCGCAGGATTCGAACCCGGAACCATCGGTATTGTGCGCGAACGCCTATTCATCAGACTAGCTTCGTGAGGAAATCCTCGGAGTTCTAGTTGAGAAGACGTGACCAATGGAGTTCAACCCTGTCGGGTGTAGGTAGTAACTACCAAAGACAAATGGGTGAGGTCACGCGAAAAATCCGTAGATCAATCAGAGTTAGACATTAACACCGTTGGATGCCGGCTCAGTGGGCTAGGACGTCCAGTGCTTCCAGGTTTCTAATGGTAGTGTCTAACAATGATTGATTGATGATTTCAAATGTGTAAAAACACAAACCTCCAAAACTTTGCCCCAAAATAACTAACTAATCTACCAATATTGTTTCATGATTAAATTTACTTACAAAATAATTTTCATGTAAATGCAATAAAACACTATAAAAACTAGAAATAATTTTATTATTTATTTATACTCAATGATAATTATTTAAATATATTAAATATTATTCAAGAAATCTGTGACATTCCATAAATAAATGTGACTTTTCGATCAGACAATAATAATAATAATAATAATAATAATAATAGTAATACAATTGAATATATCTGACTTGCATAAAACATACGATTAAAACAAATGGCAATTAATAAACAATGATTATTTTATTCAAGCGATGAATGATGAAGAAAAAATGATAACTGTTCGCGTTTTTTTTCTTTACAAATGTTGGATGAAAAATGAAAGTTTCCATCTTTCAAACAATGTACGAATAAGTGATACCTAACTGATAATATATATATATATATATTCGTTTCTTATATCTGATAGATATTTTGAAAAAACATGAAAAAAAAGAAAAAAGAGGAGAATGAACAATTGAACATTGAATCAATTCAATGTTCAATATTGATTTATTGAAAAGTTGTCAATTTCGGCATTGTTGTTGTTGTTGTTGTCGTGACATGATTATGCTTCCAATTGTAATGATCATTTCTACAACATGTTAATTCTTCATAAGTATCATCACATGGCGGTTGATGAGAATTTTCAATTGGTGACAAATTTGATTGTTGTGTATACATGGACATGGATGAATTATTGATCGATGATATTGGTGGTGTATGTGTTGAAGTAGTGGCGAAATGTAATTTAGATATATCATTTGGTGTACGTGTATAACGTACTGATCTACGTTCAATGGGATGATCATTGTTGGGTAGTTTTGGTAAAGTAGATGAATTTCTTAGTACAGTTTTTGGTGAACATCTTTTTAATGAAGGATAAATTGTTTGATTAGTTGATAATAATAATTTCATGTCATTTTGATGATTATCATGATTATATTGTGTGATAAATGGTTCAGTTTGTGGTGATGATAATTTAGTTTGATATAAATTTGGTTCATAACTAATATTGGACCATAAAGCACTGAAAATATAAACAAATGATTTATTTTTTAAAGTTAATCAATGGAATAATAGTGTTGAGTAAGTTAGATCCCCAAAAACTCATTTGATTAAGGTTCTAATTTTGGATTTTTCATGTTTTAGCGTATGGGCTGCTTAATTGACTTTCAGCTTACATTTCCCACTCGGTAAATCATTGACTGTCATTGGATTATTTTAGTACGCTATTTTTTTGGCTCTCCCAACTAGTGATAGGGAGTGAAGTATTCGAGCCTGTTGATCGGTTCACTTATCTGGATAGTCTCATCGACGAGCTATGTTTTGTGGTGTAGGAGTAAATTGGAAGAAAGCTAGGGGCGGCCAGACCAAAACATGGCGCAAATCCATGAAGTCATTGACAAGTGGACTGAGCAATGTCGGTAATTGTCGACTACCTGGTTGGGGTCCGCGAGATGATAATAATCGACGGTTAGAGACCTTGAACGACATGGCTCAAAATCGTTCGCAATGGCGCAAGTGCATCCATTCGTTGTGCTCTCTCAAATCCTAATCTTTTTGATTCGTCAGCACCTCTTCCTTTGTCTTTCTAACCTTATTTCACTTAATTATACTTCTTCAATAATATCTTCGAACCCTAGTCTTCTTCATTACCATTAATACCTCTACTATCTTTATCATTATGGGATTTGATTTGACATTTGCGTCTCTGTGCTAATGTGGTATGGCAACATGAACTGATGTACATACGTAGGAAGTTCTGCGTTGCATCAGACTGACTGACTATGGCTCTCCCAAGGACGTTTCTATCATATATAAATATACTCGGTGTGTGTGCATGTGAACCTCTATTTTTTTGGTGCTTGTAGAATACACTTTCTACGCCATATCAAGACTTCTTCTTCTACTTAATGGGGCTTTGGGATGCTCAGATTAGAGTAGCCTATCGCATCACTGTATTATTTGTCTTCGCTCTCGTTTACTGAGTAAGGTATACTCGAAATAATTTCAAGCATATCAGTTAACGAGAAAAACAAATAGGAAGTGATTATTTGTCAATCTGAAAAATGTTAGTTAACTTCAACTTTTATGTAAGTGTTAAGTGAATTTATGATGGATGTTAAATGGTTTAGTCTAATCGATAACAAGTTCTGAAAATAGATGTTGAATAAATTATTTTCAGAATCAAACTATATATATATATATATATATATATATATATATATATATATTGTTACGAATGCACTTGAACACGTCAATTGATATGCTTGAACTATTATGAGTCTACTTTAATCAGTAAACGAGAGCGAGGATAGACGATCCGAGCGACACAACAGGCTAATTTAATCCGAGTGTCCCAAAACCCCATTGAGAAAAAGAAGAGGACTTTATATGAAGTAGACCGTGTATTTTACAAACATACGGAAAGTACGATGTCCTAGTCCAGAAGTGGATAAGGATCCCGGACTAAGGATCCAGATCATAAATGTTACAGACAATGCATATTTATGCAGTTAGGTCGAATAGGAAACAACATGGAAATATGTCACATTGACAGTTAAGACGGCCAATAGGAACTGACCAACAGAACTAGACTTACGAATAATTTTGTTAGGATAGTGGATGAATATCGTAACATTATATATATATATATATATATATATATATATATATATATATATATATTACTTACTTACGCCTGTTACCCCCAATCGAGCATAGGCCGCTCACCAGTTTTCTCCAACCAACTCTATCCTGGGCTTCCTTCTCCAGTTCTGTCCAATGTTTGTTCATTCCTCTCATATCTTTCTCTATTTCTCGATGTAGTGTGTTCGTTGGCCTTCCTCTTTTCCTTTTGCCTTGAGGGTTCCATGTGAGGGCTTGTCTCGTGACGCAGTTAAGTGCTTTCCGCGATGTGTGTCCTATCCACTTCCACCACTTCTTCCTGATTCCCTCCTGCACTGGAACTTGGTTTGTTCTCTCCCACAGTTCGTTGTTGCTGATCGTGTCTGGCCAACGAATCCGAAGTATTTTGCGTAGACAACTGTTCATAAATACTTGTATCTTCTGGATGATGGCTTTCGTGGTTCTACAAGTTTCCGCTCCATACAGTAGAACTGTCTTCACATTTGTATTGAAAATCCTGATTTTGGTTTTGGTTGAAAGTTGTTTGGAGTTCCAGATAGTTTTCAACTGTAGAAAAGCAGCCCTTGCTTTGCCAATCTGCGCCCTCACATCTGCATCGGATCCACCTTTCTCGTCGATGATGCTGTACAGATATGTAAAGGTGTTAACGTCCTCCAAGGCATCTGCATCAAGAGTGATTTGGTTGGTTCATGTTGTGTTGCGTCGGAGAATTTTGTTTTTTTCTTTATGTATGCTGAGACCTACTGCTGCAGAGGCTGTTGCTACACTGGTCGTCTTCTCTTGCATTTGTTGTTGCGTGTGCGACAGAATAGCCAAGTCATCTGCGAAGTCCAGATCGTCCAGCTGCGTCCTCACTGTCCAGTTGATACCGTACCTCCCTCCAGATGTCGACGTCTTCATAATCCAGTCGATGACTAGGAGAAAGAGAAAGGGTGAGAGTAAGCAACCTTGCCTGACACCGGTCTTCACCTCAAAGGAGTCTGTCAGCTGACCTCCGTGCACGATTTTGCAGTTGAATCCATCATAAGAATTCCGTATGATGTTGACTATTTTCTCAGGCACACCGTAGTGTCGAAGAAGCCTCCACAGTGTTTTCCTGTCCACGCTATCAAATGCTTTCTCGTAGTCGATGAAGTTGATGTAGAGTGGTGAGTTCCATTCCATTGATTGCTCCACAATGATCCGTAATGTAGCAATTTGGTCAGTACATGATCGATCCTTACGAAATCCGGCCTGTTGATCTCAAAGTTGGGCGTCTACGAAATCCTTCATTCTGTTTAACAATACCCTGTTGAAGACTTTGCCTGGTATTGAAAGAAGAGTGATGCCTCTGTAGTTCTCACACTTGCTCAGGTCGCCTTTCTTTGGTATTTTGATCAGGTATCCTTCTTTCCAATCTGATGGTACTTGTTCCTCATCCCAAATCTTCTTGAAGAGCATGTGAAATATTTTCGCAGTTGCTTCCACATCTGCTTTCATTGCCTCTGCTGGAATGTTGTCTGGTCCTGCTGCTTTGCCGCTCTTGATTTGTCTGATGGCTATACTGATCTCCTCAATCGTAGGTGCGCCAATATTAATTGGGAGGTCCTTGGATGCTGCTTCGATGATGGGTGGGTTCAGTGGAGCTGGTCGATTCAAAAGTTCCTTAAAGTGCTCCACCCACCTATTTCGCTGTTGTTCAGTGTTGCTGATTATTTTCCCATCCTTGCTTTTCACTGGTCATTCTGGTTTACGATAGTTTCCGGCGAGCTTCTTTGTTGTTTCGTACAATTGTCTCAAGTTTCCGTCTCTTGCAGCCATTTCCGCCGTCATTGCTAGATCTTCCACATATTTTCGTTTGTCAGCTCTGATGCTCTTCTTGACTTCCCTGTTTGCTTCTGTGTATGCAGCTTGTGCCTTAACTTTCTCTGCTCTTGTTCGGCTGACATTGATTGCTGCCCTCTTGTTCCTCCTTTCTTCAATTTTTGCAAGAGTATCAACAGACAACTAATCCTTGTGATGGTACTTTTTGTGACCCAGAACTTTGTGACATGTTGAAGTGATTGCCTTCTTAATCCCTTTCCAATTGTACTCCAATGTTGCGTCCTCTCCATTGTGTAGATCCTGAAAGGCCTGGAACCTATTGGTGAGGGCTATCTTGAATTCGTTGAGCTTTACAGTATCCCGAAGAAAGGCCGTATTAAACTTCTGTGATGTTGTCTGCCCCGTTGTCCAGTGCTTCTTTAGCTTCAGATTCATTTTGGAGATCAGCAAATGGTGATCTGAGGCTACATCAGCTCCTCTCCTGGTTCTCACATCCTCCGTAGTCCTTCTGAACGTTTTGTTGATACAGATATGATCAATCTGGTTTTGAGTAGTGTGATCCGGTGATATCCATGTAGCTTTGTGTATGAGTTTGTGCGGGAATATTGTGCCACCGATGACCAGTTTGTTGAAGGCACATAGGTTTGCAAATCTCTCACCGTTTTCGTTTCTTTCTCCCAGTCCATGTCGTCCCATGATGTCTTCATGTCCAGTGTTGTCCATTCCAACCTTGGCATTCAGGTCTCCCATAAGAATCGTCAAATCCTTTGGTGAATATTTCTCGACGATTGACTGCAGCCTTTCGTACAATTGATCTTTAACGTCGTCACTGTAGTCATTGGTAGGTGCATAACATTGGATGACGTTCATGGTAATGTCCTGTTTCTTTGTTTTGAAAGATGCTTTAATGATCCTTGGTCCATGAGATTCCCATCCTATTAGTGCCTTTTGTGCATGTTTGGACAGCATCAATTGTTGGGGATGTTAGATCCCCAAAATTCGCTTGATAATGCCGTATTTCGGTTTTCACGTTCGCCAGCAGGGGCTGATCAAATGACCTTGAGATTTCAATTCCCACCAGCAAAATCAATGGCTGTGATTGGCTACAGTGTATTTAGTATGCTATTTTCTTAACTGTCTCAAGGACGTTCTTATGTTGTATAAATAAACGAGAGTTGTATGCTTGATTGTACTGGGATTGCTGGGTGCTTGTAGAATATACTTCTACGCCTACAAAGTCTTCTATTTCGATTCTGGGATTCAGAGTGGCCTTCCTGGAAGCTGGTAAAAGTCTCGTTCGCGTTATCGACTAAGGTAAACTCGTAATAGCCTCAAGCATACTAAGTGCCGAACATATCAGTGGCGACGGGGCTCACAATTCACAATGTCAATTAATCTTGAACAGTTAGAATCTTTACTGGAACGTCAAGGTAAACGATATGAACAGTTCCAGGAACGTATGTTGGAGCTGTTAATGAAACAAATGAATTTGAATCACAGAGGTTTTGCCGATGATTCATATAATCCGGATACAGACTCGATAGTTAATTCCATTCATGAATTTCATTTTGATGGCCTTGCTGGTGTGACTTTCGAGTCTTGGTTTAAGAAGTATGAGGATTTGTTCAAGGTCGACCTCAACAATCTTGATGACGCCACCAAAGTCAGAATCCTTTTGAGAAAGCTCGGCACAATCGAACACGAACGTTATAGTAATTTCATCCTCCCAAAGAACCCACGAGATTTCTCTTTTGATGCTACAATTGATACGCTGTCGCAAATCTTCTCTGAACAGTCATCTCTCTTTAATATTCGTTATCAATGCCCCAAAATAACCAAGTCAAATGAAGATGACTGGGTAAAGCATGCTGGCTTAGTAAATCGTGAATGCGAACGATTTAAATTATCATCAATGACGGAAGATCAGTTTAAGTGCCTTGTGTTTGTGTGCAGCTTACAATCTCCCGACGATGCTGATATAAGAACCAGAATCCTAAGTAAAATTGAACAGTGCCCAAACATCTCGCTTCAAGAAATAACTGCAGAGTGCCAGAGATTAGTAAACTTGAAGCATGATACCTCCATGGTCGAAAACAAGGGCCTCTCATCATACGTGCATTCCATTAGTGAAAAGAAAAATTCCAATTCGGCCCAAAAACCCAAAATGAATCCACCTTCTGCTTGCTGGCACTGCGGTTCATGGCACTATGTACGGAACTGCCCATTTAGGCAGCATAGATGCAGGAAGTGTAAAGTCATCGGTCATAAAGATGGCTTTTGCCTACAGAAAAAGCCAAAGCGATCCAGAAGTGCTAAGAAGCCTGTTCCTAGATCCAGTACCAATGCATTGAGCCTAATATCTTCCTGCCAAAGCTCATCACCAGGTGAGAGGAAATTTATTACTCTTAATATTAACGGTTATTTGTGTAGAATGCAAATAGATACTGCATCTGATGTCACTATCCTCTCACGCAAATATTGGACCAAATTGGGCAGCCCAAGCCTGCAGCACACAACACAAAAGCCTCGTACAGCATGTGGTAATTATCTTCGTCTGTTAGGACAATAGGAATGTAAAGTTGCTTTCCGAGATTTGTCGTTTACTGGGGTATGCTATATAACGCCAGCTGATCTAAATTTACTTGGTTTAGATTGGTTCGACCAGCTAAAATTGGCTGATGTCCCGCCAAATACCATATGCAACCTGGTATCACAACGACATGACCCAGACGCCTTGTCACGACTCATTAATGATCAAGTGGCGGCTGAGGAAAACATGGTGATCGCATCTCTGTCAGTAGAAGACCACGCAGAATGTTATCTGACAACCGCAGTTCGCGCATTACCGGTGTCTGCAACAGACATACAAAATGCTTCTAGAAACGACCCCATCATCAAGATGACGATGAAATATGTCACTAACGGTTGGCCGTCGAAAAAGTTTGAAGGTGACATGAAGCAACTGTATCAGCGGCGGGAGTCACTATGCATCGTCAACAATTGTCTGATGTTTGGTGAAAGAGTAGTGGTGCCAGAATCCCTTCGTGCAAAAGTGCTGAGACAGTTCCATCTTGGTCATCCTGGGATTAAACGAATGAAGTCCATAGCCAGGAGTTATGCATACTGGCCTCACATGGATCAACATGTCACAGCGTTAGTTGAAAAATGCATGCGGTGTCAGCAGGCGGCAAAGATGAATGCCAAAATTCCGCCGGTTTCATGGCCCAAACCTGAGCATCCTTGGTCCAGGATACATGTCGACTTCGCTGGCCCAATAAATGGAACTATGTATTTAATTGTCGTCGACGCCTTTTCTAAATGGCCGGAAATCAGCCCCGCTATGCCGCCCACTACAACTAAGACTATACAGCTCCTTTTCGAAATTTTCTCACGAAACGGCATACCAGATGTGATCGTATCCGACAATGGCTCTCAATTCACCTCTTCCCAATTCCAGAATTTCTGTCAACGGCTAGCTATTAAACACTTACGCTCGCCACCATACCACCCGCAATCGAATGGGCAGGCGGAAAGGTTTGTGGATACGTTTAAAAGAGCACTGCTTAAGTCAAAAGGGGAGGGGACGCCAGCCGAAGCATTAAAAAATTTCTTGTACGTCTATCGGACAACACCAAATGAATTGTTACCGGAGCAAAAGTCCCCAGCTGAAATCCTGATGGGAAGAAGATTGAAAACGATCCACAGCCTGATGCATCCGACTAATGCACCCTCATCAGTAGAGACAAAGCAGCAAAGACAATCCGCTTACGAGGTGGGATGCCCTGTGTTTGCCCGCGACTACAGAACGAACCATGGTCCTTGGGTAGAAGCGAGAGTGGTCAGAAGGGTTGGTCGAGTTATGTACGAAGTAGAGGTAGGAGGTGATAAATGGTCACGTCATCGCAATCAGATACGCAGACGGCTAGCCCCAGATCGCCCATCAAGAGCAGAAAGCCTTCCCCTTGACATCTTGCTTGATACCTCCAACCTACCGAGAGCCCCGCCACGAGAAGAAACTCAGCAGCAAGCTGTTCTTCGTTCCCGAAGGTGTCCCCTCAGACAGCGGCGAACAATAGTCAAGATGCATAGTCAAGGTGCATAACATTGGATGACGTTCATGGTAATGTCCTGTTTCTTTGTTTTGAAAGATGCTTTAATGATCCTTGGTCCATGAGATTCCCATCCTATTAGTGCCTTTTGTGCATGTTTGGACAGCATCAATGCAACTCCCTGTGTATGTGAAGCATTTTCCTCTTCATGACCAGAGTATAACAGCAGTTCCCCTGAAGCTAGTCTCAGTTGTCCTACCTGTGTCCAATGCGTTTCACTGATTCCAAGCACCTCGAGGTTGTATCTTTTCATTTCTGTCGCAACTTGAAATAGTCTTCCAGTCTCCCACAATGTACGAACATTCCATGTACCTAAAAAAGTGGTTGCTCTGGTTGTCAGAAGAGGCATCAGCCCCGTGACTTCTGAGGGAACTCGGCTTTCATCACGCGACGTCATAATTCTTCCTCCAACTCCCAGGGCAGAGTTAAAATGGTTTGAATTATTTTTTCTGATTAGCGTTTTTTTGGCAAGTTAGTTTTTGACGGAATGGGGTCGCCAACCCCATGTCCAACTCTCCTCCTTTATCCGGGCTTGGGACCGGCAGTAGCCCCGAAGGTTCTACTGGCGGAGTTATATATATATATATACATATATATATATATATATATATATATATATATATGTATATATATATAACCTAACAACAGTTTATACTGCAATTAAACTAAATACCGAATCCATACGCTTTACACAGATTGGGATTATGTCATATCAAATATACAATTCACGATATATTATTAGAAAACTTG